CTGAATGAATAAATAAATAAATAAATAAATAAATAAATAAATAAATAAATAAATAAATAAATAAATAAAAGCTTTTCACGATTGCATTAAATTTGAGATGGCTACATACCATTCTACGTCAATATTTAGACACCAGGCTATTTACCGTAGATAATTAAGTAGTATCCCTCACCAAATGGCATACTGTAAGTTTCATATTCAATTCACAGTGCTCTATTATCACCCTGGCAGCTTATTATCATTTTAGATTTGCCATTTCCTGACTTCACTTCCTTCCTTCAAGCAAAGCTGTATAAAATAAAAATAAAAACGTGCATTAGCAACTCATGATCTTCTTGGCACATAGCCACGGCTGAGAAGTTCTGATTTGTTGCCATTTTAATTTAATAAAACATTTTTTTCTAATAAAACGTTGTGTTATTGTTATTTTAATACATTTTTATGCTGATAAACATCTATAGCTACTGAGCTGATTTTCTTAGGCAGCAAAGATAATTAATAAAAAAAATAAAATATATCATTAGCCTCTTCTTTTAATGAAAGCTCCTGGATGTATTTTCAGCAAATATTTTTTTAAGCATGAAAAATTTCTAGCAGTCTAAATCTCTTGATAGTCCCATAAAAAGATGCACAAAAATGTACAGATATGCACAAAAATACCCTCTCATCCATGAATATTACAGCAGATTAAACAAACACACTTCCTGACCCGCAATTACCTAAATAGCCATAGCTAAACCATAATTAAGCCATGGTTTGCTGAAAAAAGTATAATTGCCTTGACCATTGATACATGGTCAGTGTTTCTTAGCCCTGGGAACTTTAGCATGGCTGGCTGTGGAATTTTGGGAATTTAAGTCCACATGTTGCCACGGTTGAGAAACTTTGAGTTACAAACTACCATTCAAAGCTGTAATAGCTCAGTTCTCGTAATATGAAAAGCCAACGCCAAGGCCAAGCAAATTATATCATGGATTTGTTATGTTTTAAGAACCAGGTAAAAACTTCACTACGTAGAGAATATCAGTAGATTCATTAGGAGTGTATTTGGGGTTATTACACTGCTACAATTGGTTCTCATACTGTACTGATCCTGAATTCCTGAATAAAGCACCAACTAATGCTGGGTAGATCTCACTAAGAGCAAATAAATCTTGCAAGCTTGACCATCATTGGGTGCTTCCTCACTTTAAATTAATGGAGCAAGTCCCACTAGTGGTGTTTTTTTTTAACAAAAAATATCTCTTGGCTTTTAGTTCTCAGAAAGCCATTCCCCATGACATTCCACTGGTTCAATTTTTTCCAGATGAGCTAGCAGAAATCGTAAGTTTAAATATCTAGTCCTTCTATCCTGCTGCAAGTAAATACATCATATAACTGGAGGAAATATAAATCCTTCCACACCAGGAGTCTCTAATTTTTTTGTTTATGGACTTTTAGCTTTAAAAAAAAACTTGGGGCAGTGCTCTGCACATATGTATCTTAGCTTTTATTTATAAATTATGCATATGTGCTAAAATATGTACATTATAAAACATACTTGTACATATCTATAGCCACACATTAAATATTGGCAGAGTATGAGATAAAAATATAGACATTCTAATATTTTCTTCCATACTCCAAAGGGGTCATCTTACAAGCCCCATTTCTGAGACCACAATTCTATCAGTGCTTTCCAAAACTAGGTAAATAACCCAAAATTGAATAAATGGGGGGTTAACAACACATGAACCCACTATCCTCATCACAACAGGGATATTTAAATTGACCTTATCACCTACATTGGGTAAAAAGGATTTTCTGATAAGTGGTTTGGAGTAATGAAGGGAAGTACTAGACAATGTTGAGCTTATTTTTTTCTAAAAATTATCATGGAAAAATAAAAGATTCCCACCATGGATGGTGGCAAAGATGAAAGTGGTTTCTATTATCAGGTTTTGTTTTGTTTTTTTTGACACACAGACCTATGAGTTATTTTCCCTGGTTGAGATGGACAGCTATAGAAATGGAACTGAATAACTATTTTTTTTTTAAATAAAAGGGAATCCTGCAGGCCACAGTATCCTCCCCCAAATAAATTTTATGGAAGAATGACCACTTCAGGAACCAAACTTCACACCCCAGTTTACAGTCAACAAAACCTTTCCAGCTTAGTAACTTTTCAGATCCGCAGCACTAGGTCACCCCATGCTGGCTGTGGATAATGGGACGCAATTATACAATATATTGGGAGGTGACTTAAGCCTGGCCCAAACCATTACCTTTTGCAGGACGTACAATTCCCGTAGGTCACGCTTAGGGACCTGTTTCCTGGGGGCAAAGTCAATTCTCAGGCCTCTTGTTTGCCTTTTAACTCTGCCACATTTCTGCACAACGCTCCGGAGCTCACAACAAGGGGACCCTGGGATCATCTGCCCCCAGGATACCTGAAGCAAAGCCAGGAGGCTCTTCCTTGCCCAGAACAGCTCGGCTCCACCTCTGAAGCCCAGCTCCCGCGGGGCACCCGGGTTTGTTTATTTTTTGGGCAAGCCCAATTCACTCACCACACCACCCATTAAGTATCCTGGCCGCAGATTGGGAGTAGGGGGCAGGAGCGTTGCACAAGCTTGGGCACCCCCCCCCCCTTTGCACAACCGCTCCCACGCCTTTCCCATTCCCACCCGCAGACGTGTGGGTTGCACAGACTCCTGCTATTCAAATCACACGCACGCATCGAAGCCATAAACCTGCTTCCACCCACCTGCCAGCTATGCCCACTCTCCCAGCTTCCTTGCACCGACAGGACGATCCGGGAGTGCAACGGCTGCCTTGTACAAGGGGCTGCTGCTTGTGCAAAGCCCCGCCTCTTCCAACGGCGCCGGCAAGTCACCGGTCTCCCGCAGCCGACGGCTGGGGGAACGGGGGGGAGAGGCAAACAGCGTCGCCCGCTCAACAGCTCTCCTCGAGATGCACCACGTCCTTCTCCTCCGCCGTCTTGAACATCTGCCGCCGTTGCCTTTTGCTTCTCCCGAAAGCTTTTTCATCCGTAACAGCGGAGCGCCGCCGGGAGATGTAGTTCTTCAGACGACGCTGCCCGTAAGGGCTGAGTTGGAGGCTAGACTACAAGTCCCGCCACTCCCCGCGGGCGGACTGGTTGGTAACCGCCTTTCAAGTCATTTGACGAGGGACGATAGGCTAACGGGTCCGTCAAAGAAAAGGAAAACGTAAACTCTGTACTGGATAGAAGCGAACGAAAAGGGTCGGTTACGGGTTTCATTTGGATGTTTCTTCTCTCTTGAGAAAATGCTTATTGTAAACATCCTGTTTGCAAACACTATTATAAACACGTGAAATCTGGTGACCTCCAAAGATTTGGGAACGCAGCGACCGGCCTCAGAATCGCCAGTCGAAGATAACTGAAGTTGGTAGATGGCTTCTGCCTTTCAAGGTTGACTAACAATAATAAAGAAACAAGAAGACAAGAAATATGGTGCAGGCTAGCACTTGATAATTTCTAACAGTGGCTTTCTATCAAACGCATCAAGTTTTATTTAATTCCAGTCACTGACCACCAACCTCCCTCCCCCACAACTCTGAGAACAAATTAACAGTCTAGGGGTGGGTTTCTCGCCCCGTTCCAACCGGTTCGGTTGGAACGAGGCCGGTGGCGTCCTCGCGCACGCGTGCGGCGTCCTCGTGCACGCACGCGGNCCCTACCGCCCACCATGAAAGCTGGAACGCCCGCTAGTGGGCGGTAGGGACCAGGTTGACCACCACTGGGCTAGATCTTCAGCAAACCTCTCCAGTGCACTTAGATCCTATTACTTTGGTAAATTTTTAATTCATTCAAGGAAAATAGATATTTGTAGACCACATTTCTATGAAACTGAATCATGTTTAGACTGTTCTTCAGAAATGCTTAGTAGAATGTGCATTTTCTTAAATGAAATTAGGTGTAAAAGGATATTGATTAGTTCCACCTTTTATTTGCTACCACCTAATATTTTATCATTTTCTCTGAGTAGTTGATACACTTCTCTTTTATTCTGAACCTATCCAAACAGGCTCTTTTATTTTTTCTAATTTTCTTCATTAATCTTAGTTCACTTTGAATATTATATCACACTATATCAGCAGTCTCCAACCTTGGCAACTTTAAGCCTGGAGGACTTCAATTCCCAGAATTCCCCAGCCAGCTTTGCTGGGAATTCTGGGAGTTGAAGTCCGCCAGGCTTAAAGTTGCCAAGGTTGGAGACCCCTGCACTATATCACATTATAGTGATTCTGGGAATAAACCCAAAATTCTGGGGAACTTTTCCTTGGTTATTAATTTCCATCTCCTATCAGGTTTTTTTTAATTTTTAGGTCTTCCCTACAGTTACTGTGCATAAATTGCTTGCTTCTTCTGCTTTTTTTCAACTTATTTACAATTCAATTTTCCTATCTCCTTTTTTAAAAGGCAGTACCTCTCCACTCTCAAAAAATAATTGAGTTATTCGTCTCAGCTTTTTCCTCTAACACTACTTATCATAGCTCTTGGAGTTCATTGATTTGATTTTAATCCCACCTTTATTAGTTTATAAATAAGTCAACAGAGTTTTACACATAATGCTCTTTCCTCTTTTTCCCCCCACAGCCAATTCTGTGAGGTGGATTGGGTAGAGAGAGAGAGTGACTGGTGCAAAATCATCACCCAATCATCTTTTATACAGTCCCCTGGTTTCTAAGACCACTAGCAATAGCAATAGCACTTAGAATTATATAACGCTTCACAGTGCTTTACAGCCCTTTCTAAGCGGTTTAAAGAGTCCGCCTATTTCCCCCAACAACCTGGGTCCTCATTCTACCCACCTCGGAAGGATGGAAGGCTGAGTCAACCTTGAGCCTGGTGAGATTCAAGCTGCCAAATTGCAGGCAGCCGGCAGTACTGCACTCTAACCACTGTGCCACTGTACTTTAACCATATCCACTTTTCCTTAAAATCAAGAATATAAGAATGGTCATTCCCCCACCCCCCCACCCCCAATTTCTGTTGTTGTTTGCTTGCTACTTCTGTTCCTTGATTAAAACGCTCCCTGCTGGTTTGTAGCAGGACAAGAATGGCTAATCCACTCTATGAAACTGAAATTATCAGCAAGCCAAGCCTGGAATTTTCCTGGAAGAACCAGGTTTGACAGAGTAACTCCCTACAAATGCCACTGAATGAATAAATAAATAAATAAATAAATAAATAAATAAATAAATAAATAAATAAAT